AGCAAAATTTAACTTCGGATGCAAGAGAATGGAGGTACACTTTCTTAATAATCAACTGACATAACATACATATGCATGTCTTACTTTTCTAAAGTATTACTAATCATCCGGGGCCTAAAGTCAATTATTAGTTATCTTAGCGGTAAAAAATGTTTTTCTTGTATTAGATTTATACAGCAAGAAGAATTGGCACTGCATGGCAGCATGGGGCAAAAGTTGGTGGGAACAATCCATCTAGCATTTTCAAATTTCAACAATATATAATTTAATGCGCAGTGTCAATTGCTATTACCTAAATCGTGCAAACACGACATGATCGAAGGAATGGCAGACCCAGAAAAAGTTGTTTTCAAATGGTGTTCATCTGATGGCTGGCCCGTGGGAGATACCATATGTATATGTGTGTGTAAAGCTAGCTAGGGTTCTGCAGAACTGTAGGGCATTTGAATTTCAAATTACAGAAGTATTTTCTTTGTCATGTTAACTAGCCTGGTAGACCGATGCAAGGACGTTTCTAATATCACGGCACTGAAATGTGTAAACTTATCGACACTAGATAGCTAGTGTTTATACATTCCTGATGTAAAACGTACGTACACACCCTGTTTGTTTCTCACTGGCGCTAGAGCTAGGGTTAGCACGGACATGGACGTTATGTCACGTAGATTCAATTAGGAGGGTCTTCAAACATAAAGGACAAATCAATTAGTGGTTAGGACCCCTTCCTGTGTCACACCCCTCACTACCCTGACCCATTGTTTGGCATCAAACTCAATGGCGCTTTCAATCTGGCTTCTGTGAGAAGTGGGACACCGACACTAAGGAATTAGGGTTTTGGACCCTCAAATGCAAACGATAGTATAAGAACTAGGAATTAGGGTTTCGGATCATTAAAGAAAATTACAGAATAGAAAATACATGCAAGTGTGTTAAAATGTGTGTGAAAAATCATGTGTATTCCCCCTAATCCTATTCTATATTTGATCCGCATTCTTAAGCCATAATGTATTTCAACGATTCAACTGTTTATCTTTTAGGTATTTCCTCAAAACTCATCTCTATCAAAAATCACCTAAATTTTATGACAATTTAATTAAATGGTATTCATTTTAGTGTTTCTTTGTAAAAGTGTATACGTCTATTTTCTTCACTACAAATAAATGTCTTAGTTTTTTATTTGTCTAATTCTTTGCAAATATGATTCATAAATGATGAATTAAAATATAGACGACTCGGATTCTTAATAAAAGTTATGAAATAAGAACTACTAAAAAGTTTGTCAAAATATGTGTCTGTGCGAGCACAACATATATTTATACATAAGGGTTTTCGTCATTACTTATTGGGTAACCCTTGCTTATTATAATTTCTTTTTGTGGGGACGTGAGTTATATGTTAACTTTGTGGGTAATATCTAGCTAGCTGTCACATTGGATCCTTTTGGTCATCTCATTGTGTTTTGCATGTCCTGGTTTCTGCAATTCGTTCTACTTAATTAAAATTTTGAACCTGTATAGTTCTACGGGTGTTTGGTGTATATATAGAGTCCTTATCTGCAGGTAGCAGGTGATCAATACTTTGCAGCAAAATATTTTGTCGTCCGTTTTTGCTTTGGTAGTTAGGTGTGTGTGTCTGCATATGTCATGTATGAATTTGACCTCTTGACGTAAAACAAGGTTATAATGCGTGAAATGAATTAATTTAATGAGAACGATCTTTGTGAGGAACCCTAATGTTAACTTATACTGCATCCCTTATTGTATTTATGCTTAAGAAATAATACATCTCAATCTAGTGGGTTTTATCATTAAGTACCTCATTTATATATAGTCCTTTACCCAACCATCCTTCACCAGTTAGCTTTGTCTAATCCAAAGGGCTTCGTAAAAATACATCGTTGTAAAATTCAATGATACTAGGAGTATCGTAATTTTACTTCAGGTTGATTATCATAACTCTAATGATTTTCCCACCTCCTTTTTAAATTTATCTCCTCCTGCCCTAAAAGTCAAGGGTGTACATACGTGAGGAGAAAAATAATGCATAAAAATCACTTTCCAAAAAGTAAACAGCGTTATGAGAGTTGAATCCCGCATCAAGGGTTACTCCTCATATTGTCAATTGATTTTTTTTTTTTAACAAACAATATTATCTACAATAAGGGGGAGGGGTGGGCTTAGTCTCATAATTGGCTAGCAATAATGTGTTTCAAATTCGCATTTGACGAGAATTGAACCTAAGACCTCTCACTTACAAGTGAAGATGAATACCATTATACCATAGTACTAAATGTCATAGTCAATTGATTTTATGGTGTAACCTGAACTTCTCAATGGTATTGTCTAACATGTGAAGCCCAACGGCCACACACGCCCCACGTCACTCAATTTGTATTGTTAACTTGTTAGACCGGAAGATTCGCTATACATGAAGGCATGTTGAGAGTTGAATCTCATTCTCACATGAGGGAAAATAATGAACTTTACACGTGTTTATAAGTAATTAAGGTTACTCCTTCTATTGCCCTATGGTAAACCCCAACTTCTTCAATTAATGCCAGGAACAGTAAATATTAATCACATCAAAGACAGCGATCCATGGAGCATGAGAAGTTCCAGCTGCTGCCCTAAAAATCGCCGTCAGGATGCGTTTGCGGGGCATCTGTGTCTGCCTAGGAAAGGCCATTGATTGACTATTTTGGTCATTCGGTTGGTTGGAAAAAACATGCACTTCTTGATTTGGCATTCGTCATCATCTTGCTTCTCCATTGAATATTGATGCTGCTGCTTACACTCACTTACCCTAAAGTGAACGGAACTGCTTTGCCTTTTGATCATCTTCTCTCTAGCTTTGAGAAAATAAAGCAAGTTTTTTAGTGTGAAATCCATGTCATGGCCGAAAGGTAGGGGCCATGTGATGTGAAGAGTGGTCTAAGATGCGATGGAATAGATGCTGCTCCTTTGATTTTTCATTGGTGCCTAATTAAAGATCGAACACATGATCAAATTCACATAGGATAAAAGGGAATATAAAAAGTTGCATGGAACACGTGAAAGACCCAAGTCTAATTAAGAACTTCTACTAGCTACTAAATTAGGGATTAATATATGTCCAAAGAGTAGAAAATAGACACAATTACATATGGGTTTTCACCTGGTGGAATGGATTTGATTAATTGTTGTTAAGTGACTAGATTATATTAGGTTTAATGGGGTTGATGATGAGTCATGTTCAGATTTATCTGTTTATATTCATGTTATGTTCGTGTCGTGCAAAGCAATATAAAAACTTTAGAGGGTTGTGTTTGTGGTCACAACTTGTGGCGATAGCTTTGTTGTGGTCTTGTTGTATAGCAATGATTTTGATGTGTGTTTGTTGCATTTATTGTCATTATGACAGATTTGTACTAGTGCATTTGTTTTGTGTGGTAGCCACTTCGAGTTTAATTCTTTTTTATGTTTGTGCAAATTTACCTCTAGATCAAGGATTTGGTCACTAAAGTTTATGTACTCATGTTGGCATCATTTGTAACTATTTGTCCATCAATAGAATTATGTTCTCTTTTTTTTATATAAAAAAAAGAAGTCGTAACGTGCTGAGAGTCTAGTTCACAGGTCGGACTAGTGGGATTAACCACCTTAATTTTGTTTAAGAATTAGTTATCCTATAAGAATGTAAATCATAGGATAATGATAGTATTAGGCTAGCCTTCATCCAATTCCTTTAATTTACCTTACCAAAGAAAGATCATGCATTAATTTACGAATAGCAAGTAAGATGGAGTAAAATAGCCCATACACGTTATGGGCCTGATGCACCTCCAAAAATTTGTCGGACAATATGGGCTTGACGCATCCCCCAATTTGAGGCCATTGAATTGAAGAATGGACCAATTGTGTCCTTTTTTTTGGTTCAACAAGAAACTTCTGAAACTCGTGGAAATTGTGTCCAAACACAACGGTTTTCACAAGAAAACATCAGAAAGTCATTAAACATATTTTTTCTTTTATAACCAAAATGGTCCCTAAAATGGGTATACTCTTCATTGGTCCTGACAGCAAAAATCGATAGAAGTGGTCTATGTGTTTGCTCACTGTAAATCATTTTGGTTATTCCGTAAAATATCCTCTTTAAATTGTCACGTGAAAGACTACGTGACCACCTTTTTAAGGGTATATTTGTCCAACCAATCCCTCCACTTAACGAGTATATTGACAGATTTTTCACAGAATAACCAAAATAATTTACAGGGGACAAAATTAGGGATCACTTCTATAGATTTTCATTATCAATACCCAAAATGAGAAATTATATCAATAAGAGACTATTTTATCTAAAAAAACCTTAAAAAAAGACATAAGAAACATATGGAAATTGCTTGTTAAGAATGAAGAGGAGAGCCTTAAAAGAAAATTAAGAGGAGAAACGTTGACTATACAATATATTCTAGCAAAAGGATCAGAACCAGAATTTTCAAAGTATATTGTTGTCCAATATATAAATAGATTAATTAATGGTTATCTGACTTGAATTGTTCTCCTAAATTGTTCTTGACTGGTAAAAAACGCCAGACGATTATATTGATTCATATACAGTAGCTTAATCCTAAATCGAATCCTTAAGCTTTTGTTTAGAAATTTACCGTGAACATCCACTCAATTTAAAATAATGTGCATTCTCTACAACTTACATCAAAGTACCATAACTGGATCATCATCAAACAAATGAATTTCAATCACAAATGTCACTAAACCTACGTGGAAATACTCTAATCTCATATATTACACATTGTTTACATTTATCAACACATCAAATAAATATTCAAACCCGCTTGCAGCTCAAGTAATTAAGAAGACTCACCAGTATTGTGATGTTGTGTTCAATTTCTCCCCTCTCACAATCATCGACCATGATATCACAAACTTTTCTGGTGACTCTGTCGTTGAGATGGGGGTATAGCCACGGCGTTTGTACTTCCCTCAGCAACTAACATCTTATTGCTACTCAATAACATAATCTTTCTTCTTTGATGCCACCGGCCTCCTTGCATTACTCGAGCTCTCTTTCACAGTTGGAACCGCGTACCAAAAAATAGACGTACACAATATGGCAAACGACCGCCCAAACAAAGTCAACAGCACCAAAATAAAGATCACAACGACCGGCAAATAATAATATGGCTTTCTCCACTCATCCAACTTCATTTTCCAACTTGAAAATCTCCCCTTCTTGCTCTCTTGATCAGATTCCGATCTCGGTTGCTTCTGCTTCATGTCTTTCTTGTCGATGTGGGATTGGTCAATATTTTCAAAGGCTTCTGAATTAGGGTTTGCATGCTTCTCTTCACGATCACTAGTTGTCTTTGTTTTGTCTTCCTTTTTGTCTTTCAGTTTGATCACGATTGGAACCGGAGCACTTGTATCAGTCTCGTCCTTGAATACGAACCGCACAAAAGATTTGTCTTTCGGGTCCATTTGCGCATAAATCTTCTGCCTTTTCTCTTCTAGGTCAGCTACAAGTGCAGAAAACTTGTCAAGGCCCCGGTCCGAATAGGGGTTTTTGCTGTCCTTGTTGTGTCTTCTGTAAATCAGGCCAACGCTTCTCGATCTTGATGATTTTCTTGGAGATGGAGGCGAAGTTGAAATCATGTGCTCATCATCTTCTTCTACTTGGTGACTAAAACTGGCACAGCTGAAAGGGCTGAACATGTTGTGGTAATTTTCAGGATTTTTTTTTCTCTCTCTTTCGTTTAAATTTTATTGGTTTTCTTTCTTTATCTGAGCTGATGATTTGGTTGTGATTGTGAAAGAGGAAGAAGAGAGGGCCAGATATATGTATTATTGAAGGGCCTGCTGAGAGAGGCTGATCCAAACGAGCCTAGTCAAATTAGAGGTTTGAAAAGACAAAATTCCATAGAAACTTCCGATCACCAAATTTATTTAAATATGGTGACTCTTGACTTCTTGGGGAAGAGGCAAAATTATGGATATATATGCGTGTGGAAAGAATGATTGTATTGAGGCCAAAAGACAAGGAAAAAATGGACATGGAACGAAATTAACTCGTTAACTTAAGCACATCTACTCCTTAATACGCCTAATGCATGGACAAATTAAAAGGCTTGAAGAAGTCCAACGTTAATGTCAATATTGAACCTGGGCATCTACGCGCATACATTTTTCAGAATCTTAAACTTGTAATAAGTACAATATTTTCTAGAAGGGGCACCATAATTAAGTTTTATGCATTGACAGGTGCTGAGTTTTTGTCACGAAAAGTCTCGGTGCTATTAGTAGTGAAACTGCACATGTCAATTTTGGTGATTATTTTCTCAAGTTCTCAATGAGAGATTTTACGTACTTTCTCCAACAAGTTACGTTGAGGTATTGTGTAAGAAACATTCAACACATTGATCAAGTCAGACTGTCTATATTACTCTTTATCATTTCAACGCCTTTTGTTTTGTGATAACAATTGTCGATTTGAGCAAAAAATTTCCTTCAAAAATGTAAAAAAACGAATGTCACTAAACATACATGGTTGACTATTCATCTAAGGTTACACATAGAGGCTTCGCGGGGTTTTATTGCATTTATTTGAACGAGTATAATTAGGCCATCTCCAACTGAAGGCTGGCCGGATGACTCGTTTTAGCCATTTGACCCTCCAATAAATTAATTTTTTTAATGAACAGTGCATGACCATATTTCTTACCATCTCCAACCGAGAGGCCAGAGGGCCATAGGCAGAACATAGCCATGTGAAAAAAAAAAAACCATCTCCAACCGAGGGCCAAACATGATTTATTATTTTAATTGAACTACTATGGTTACTTAAATTAAATTACCTCAATAATTTTATGTTATGGATTGTCAATAATTTTCATTTTGTTAAATGTTTTTAAAAATGTTGTTTAATTTTTTTTATGTTGTTTAATGTTGTTTAATGTTATTTAATGTTGTTTAATGACTTAGAAAGTTATAGGAAAAAAAATAGAATTTTTAAATTTTCTAAAAAAAAACTGTAAAAAAAGGAAAAAGAAAAATCAAATATGACATCATCATGTATCCTGGCCCGAGGCTAGTTGGCTGACTGCTTTGGGCCGGCCAGTTGGCTCTTTAGCCCTTGGCCCATGAGCCATTTGGCCTGGCCTTCAGTTGAAGACGGTTTTCGGATTATTTTCAGCCCTCTGAACTCTTTGGTTAGAAATGACCTTAGTAACATTGTAAACAGCGATCCTAATCGTATCATTTACTCTGTGTCACTGTCTAAGAACACAATTAAGGACCTCAAAAATAAAAATAAAAGATGCTTATCTCAACACGCTTCAGATATTGTAGTTTTCCTCACTTTGTTCTGTGCAGGGCAGCAATACACATTGTAAATTGAAGTTGTGCACGCTTACTTCAAACTTACAAGAACCTGAACAAGAATAAAAAACGTTTATTTTGCGAAAGTCTAAGAACATCTAGAAGCAATCACATCACAATAATTCAAGCAAATTGTGTGGGTTCACAAATCGAGAGACTGACTGATTGAGTTGCTAAAATATTTTAAAGGGACATGGATCCTCTCCTGATCCATGCATCATAATCCTAAGAATCCACTAATTCGGATAATTAAAATTTAATTCAACGGTTAAAGTTATTATAATTTTTAACGTGAATCCTGTTTATAGCCGTTTGATTAAATTTCAATGATTCGAATTGATGAATCTCTAGAATTAAGATGCATAGATCCAGAGATGATCCATATCTATTTTAAAGGGCCTTAATCTCTCCAACTCATTTTCAAAGAATAGAGTAATAGAAACGCGGACGGGTTGTAATGCCTAATTTGCATTGTCTATATTTTAAGTTTTAAGTTATAAATTATTCATACAAAAATCGATTCAATCAGAAACTATGTAGACATTTATTTGAAATAATTTAAAAATATGATTGTTAGCGAGGAGGGCTAGTGTTAGAGTGAAAATCAAACACCTTTGTGACCCTCTTCACTTTGATTTGGGATTGGATTATGGGGTTGTTGAAATACAGAATACTGGGTTTTAATTTTTGAGGTTTGTGTTTTGTGATTGGAGAAAAGTTGTGGAATTTGGGAGCTTTGATGGATTGAAATGGAGGATCAATGAGACCATCAAGAGAGAGATAGAGAAGGAGTTGGACAAGAAGAGAGAGAGGGCGAGAGTTCTAGAAAAGAAAAGGGATGTGCTATCTACACACCTCATTTTATTTCTCACACATCCCTTAATAATTTATGTCTATTGATCTTCTTCAATTCATCCGATCCGATGATCGAAAATTAAAAAAATGTGTGAGAAGGAAAATAAGATGTGTGGATATCACATCTCAAAGAAAAAACATAATAAAAAAGAAGAAAAAGAAACAAAGAGAATTAATTGTTATTGTTTTTATTATTTTGTTTCTTATTTTGATACTGTACAAACCATTTAATTAAACCAGTCCAACTTAACTTCCGAAATGAGTTCAGTTCGATAATTTAATGCAATAAACGCAGCCGTACGAGACTACGACAAAAGCTAAGCCGTCGTTTTGGTGACCGAAGGCGAAGGGTGAATACAGGGGTTAAAAAGCCAAAGTGCAAACAAAGTCAACACGAAGACTCAAGTTTCATAACAAGCAAACGACGTCGTCCCGCCACCCACGGGGACACGTTGGTCATTTAAAAAAAACTGCCGTACAAAACCGGAATCCGAAACATTCGCAAAAGGCCAGTCCCACATTAATCGCTTTCCTATGTGCAGTTAAAAAGGCAGAGGTTTGGTCTGCTGGGTAGGTACTCATAAAAACAAGCCAACCGAAGCCTCCCGAACCGACCACCAATGACGGCCCCAAACGACGCCGTCCCCAAAGAAGCCGACGACCGCCCCGGCACCGAGGCCGAGTTGAACGAGGGCGCAGTGCCCGGCGGGAAAGTGAGGGGACCGTGGTCGCCCGAGGAGGACGCGGTGCTGAGCCGGCTCGTGGGCAACTTCGGGGCGAGGAATTGGAGCCTGATCGCCCGAGGAATTCCCGGACGGTCTGGGAAGTCGTGCCGGCTGAGGTGGTGTAATCAGCTTGACCCCTGCGTCAAGCGTAAACCCTTTTCTGGTAATTTAATCGCCGCCATTTTCGTTTTGATATTTTCTCTGTTTGTGTTTGATTGGTTTTGTTATGTTATGTTTGGATTTTGACGGTTACTGAATTTCGATTAGGATGTGCTTAATCAGTGGAATTCTGAATTTTCGAGTGTCGATTTTTCGAATTCGAAGCTGTTTGTGAACTCTTGTCACTGTCTTGTTTGTTACATATGTCGGAAGTGTCTTCTTGGTTTCTTGTTTGTTTAATCAAAGCTGTAGTATGTCATTTTTCGAAAAATTGTCGGCACACAAAAGGGGTGGGATTGATGTTGGTATATCGTATGTCTAGTGTGTTGATCGAGGAGCCAAGCATTTCGTTAGTGTCGAATATGATTTCAAGATTAAAGATGGAACCTTGAGAGATATGCAGTTAGTCTAGCATGGTACAAATTTGTTCGAATTTTGTTGATATTGGAACTGCTATTGTGTTTGGACCGTCCAATGTGTACATAAACGCTCCAATTAGCGCGGTCTTTTTCTTAGTGTGGTTTTCAGTCTCGAGTACGTTGTTTCCATAATGTTAACATATTTCGTTTTTGTCGTGATCTATCTGTTTGTTAATTTGTGATTTTGTATGTATGTGGATTCTCAGCTTTCTTGATTCTTCTTTATATGCAACTTTTGGACAATGTTTAAGGAATGAATGTAACTGAATATTTGGAAAGTTCAGAATGATCTATAACACCACGATGGAAGAACGTATTTGAAGTTGTGGTCACAATTTGGTGATACATTTTACAGGATATTGTGTACATGTAGGGTTGGTGCATCAAATCGTTTTAATTAGGTGGTTCATCTATTTTATTAGTCCCCAGGGATCATTGATTGATTAAGGTAAACGTCCTTGGGTTAACCTCGGTTCATGTTGTTTGGAATTGCATTAAGATTTTGTATCATGCTGGTTCTCTTGTTGCTAAAATGTTGCCGCTGGTTCAGGACCTCAGGTTAGTAAATCAAATATAGCTGGAAATTATTTACCTGCAAACTTCGTAATCTTGTCCTTGCGTGGATTGCTTTTGTTGTCATTACATTTTGAGAAATATTTTAAATGAATTTGATACTGGCATACCTTTCTGTCTAAAGTTGTATATTTATTTGCTTCATTGCTTTTTCTGAAGTTTTCTCAACGGAACTTTAATTAATGCAGAGGAAGAAGACCGTATTATAGTTTCAGCACATGCTATCCATGGGAACAAATGGGCAGTAATTGCAAAGCTTCTTCCAGGTAGAACAGATAACGGAATCAAGAACCATTGGAATTCTACACTAAGGCGCAAGTGCTTTGATAAAGGAAGGTTTAATACTGGACATGGGGAAACGATGGAAGATGACACCTTTGACAGAAAAAATGCATCCTCAGAAGAAACCCTGTCAGTTGGGAATATCAGTTCATTCAAGACTCATGAAGGAAGAGAGGTCTTGATGGAAAATAGACCAAACCAGTTCGACGTAAGAAATCATGCAAAGGAGGGTTCTGGCACTGCCGAATCAAAGCACAATTCTACTCTTATTGCCGAGCCAAGTGACCATCCAACTCTCCAGTCCACCACTTGTCGTCCAGTGGCACGTGTTAGTGCTTTTAGTGCTTATAACCGTCCAAGTGGTCCAGCAAATGCTTCATCTTTTTCATGGACAGTCCCAAGTCATGGCCCTTTGGTCCCAATAACTAAACTAGATTTCGGCTTTGACAACTTCCTTGACGGTGCATGCAATGAGCCTATGGTTCCTCAACGCTGTGGCCACAGTTGCTGTGATCGAGTCAAGGGGCATTCTCAAAGCTCATTGTTGGGGCCTGAGTTCGTTGAGTATGATGAGCCTCTCCCTTTCTCCAGCCACGAATTAATCTCCATTGCTACGGATTTGAACAAGATTGCATGGATTAAGAGTGGCCTTGAGAGTAATGGGATTAGGATGCCAGAGAGCGTAGCAAGCCAGAGAGTCTTTCAAGCAGCTGCCACTACCTTGCAAATGGGGTTGCCAGCAAACACTCCGATGAATGACCATATGTGCTTTGAGGAAGGAAGAAACAAGTTGATGGGAATGATGACGGACGTGCTATCAACCCAGGTGCCTAGACAGACTTTTGCAATGCCAACTGAAGTTGAGGGATTGAGCTAGAACTCATGGCCGGTCTTCCTCAGTCTTCGGGGTGTTTCGGTTATAGCGGTACAGACCGGTTAATTTACAGCAGATTAAGTTAAAGTCTCCAGTTTCATTTAGAAGGCTTTTCACTTTTGACTTATCTCATTTAAGAGGGCATTTCATCAAAGTTATGTATGTAGGTACTTCTCTACCCCTTTTGTCATGAGCAAAGAAGCTGTTGACTAGTAAATGCTTTTATACAAGTGCTTTTATCCCAAATCCAAAAACTTGATTGATAAAACTTTGGCATCCAAAAACTTGATTGATAAAACTTTGGCACTTCAAATCGATTATTTTCTAGTTTATTCACATTCAGGGTGGGAGTGCTAGAAGTTAAAATGAGCGTGAAAATCATTATATGAAATATCAAAATCATTGCCTATATGCTCGTATCTTTATGTCCCTTAATTCCTTTAATTCTCCTTTCTGTTCAATTCCAAGATTAGAAATAAGGGAATTTTAACGAAAAGTCCGCGGTACTGTTCATTTTAATGAAAAACCACAATTTTACACTAAAAAGTCAATTCTGGTATTATTCATTTTATCCTTTATTTTGTTCTTATCATTAAAACTTAAATTTTTCAAACCATTTTCATTAGTTTCCTTAAAAATAAAGAGGACTTGCAGAAGAAGTGCCGAAAATCATCTCCCATAAAGAAAAGATTTTGGGCTTACCTGACCTGGCTTGGTCTATGATCCTTATAAAAAGGAGCTAAAACAAGTGGATACTTGGCCCGTCATAAACAGGCTGAATAGGATCACAAGTCGATCATAAGACTCAAAACAAGCTTCAAGCTTGACCCATATTCTCCATTTAAGAATATGTCACTCGTGTAGTGAACATTGGAAGAGAAAATCGGTATCGTTGTCTGATTTGAGCAGCTTTCACATCCAACTGGATTAATGTAACTCAATAGATCAAAATATAACTGTTTCATCTTTTTGTCAAAAATGCTCTACAGATGACATGGTTGGACATTCCCACCTCATTTTTTTTTTCAAATATTTAATCATTAAATTTGGTTTTCAAAGGATGAGGAAATAGAATCCAGATGCTCGCCGGATCATCTTTTTAAAGATCTTAGGAATCGGTGAATCATATTCGTTCATCGTACATCGTGCGATTATAAATCATTTTAAATATTTTTATTTAAAATTAAATATAAACAGTACTTGACAAAAATTGACCGCACAATATACGATGAATGAATACGATTTACGAATTTCCAAAATTCTCACCAAAAGGATTCGGAAAGAATCCTGTTGGGAGGAAATATATTAAAAGAGTGGTTACACAGGGAAAGACATCCTCTCCAGATCTCTTCCTTCAAAGCCCAGGGATCAAGTGATCCCGGCTCTTGAAATTTGATCCAACGGTAAAAAATTATTATAATTTTTAAACGTTTTTACTAAATTCTCTGTTTTTAGACGTTGGATCAAATTTCAAAGGTCCAAATAATTTGATCTTTGAGTTTTAAAGAAAGAGATCCGAATATGATCTCTATCCGTTACAACAACTCCTTTGTCAGTCTCCCCACCACCCCCCCCCGCGCCGCCCCACATATTTTAATTTTAACCAAAAGCTTAATTTAGGATTTTGGCAAACACGAGGTTAAAAAGAAAATTTTCAACTTACCCTAAATTGCATGATGAAGGAACAGCCCACATTGCTAGCCTATGTTTTGCTCAATCAATTAATGTTGTGAACAGTCAATAATACCCTTCAGACAACTAGTGTTATCAGTTACACATCAGAACTACATGGGCATGTCTGTCTTTCCACAAGTTAAAGTGGACGGTCCTCATACAAAAGTATGGGGTCTTCATGTCAGTTACGCAAGTGAAACAGAAGCAGATTGAAAAAAGCAGCTTTGGGTGAAGAAGACAGTGAAATCTGCTTTTGATGCATGCAACTTCGGTGCTCTCTGTACGACAGTTTTCTAAAGTCACCTCAATCACTTCTTTCTCTGCCACGATAATAATACATCGTTTCACATAAGTTGCTTTAAAAAAGAATCTTATTCCTCTTATCTTCTCAATCACAATGATTAAGCAGAGAAAAAAAACCCTCCTCCTTTATCTTCTCAACTGAAATGATTAAGCAGAGAGATTAGCAAATAAACACACACTAATCTCCCTCATCACTGTGGTGGCACGTTATTTATTGTTTATGATCACTAAACAACACACTAATGCTGTTAATTTAACCAAAAAAAGAAGAGGAGCAGGGAGGGAGGGGTCAAAGTCGTCTGTTTTGGGGGACACAAATCAGGAAGCTGTATATGTTATTATGTTTCACCTGCTCACCTGCAAACATTTTGGGTTTTTTTTAGTGTGTGCGTTTATTTTCCTCCATTATTCTATTTAAAAGATCTTTCCTTGGTCACTGACACTGAGGGTGAGGAGTGAGGAGTGAGGTGTGAGGAGAGAGAGAGAGGCGAGAGAGAGGGAGGGGTTACCAACCGCTACAGGACCCGGTTGCTGGAAATCTAAGAAACCCACTTCCTACTGGGTTGAGAGCTTCTTCAACCTCTGTGGGCATTGATAATATCGGCCGCACAGAGCCATTACATGAAGATTCTCTCTTTGGGTTTTGCAAATGGCAGCCGTAGACAAAGCCCACGTGGTTGTTGATGTGGAGGAGGGGGATGTGGGACGCCGCAGCGCCGCCACGGGTCGACGTAGCCATCCTGAGTCCGGCTCCGAGGGGTCGGAGGATGAGGAGAAGAGGTGCTCCACTGAGTCAGGGTCTGAGATCGTGGAGAGGGAATCATCTGCGTCGGAGAGTTCAGTGGAGGTGGATCTGGAGGAGGTGAAGATGCACGTGGCGAAAGTGGAGAGGGATTGCAGGATTTGTCACCTGAGCATGGATGCAACGAATCATGAATCTGGGATTCCTATTGAGCTGGGGTGTTCTTGTAAGGCTGATTTGGCTGCTGCCCATAAGCAGTGTGCTGAGGCTTGGTTCAAGATCAAGGGTAACAAGTAAGTTTTTTTTACATTCAAAGGTTAAATCTTTCTGTGTTTTGGAGATTACCCAGCTGTTAATTTATTTACTTTTATCTGTTAGCAGTGATTTCGTTGAAATGCTAGGTTAGATTGTTATGTTGTTCTTCTGAGGATTGTGTAATATGAAGTATAATTTGGGGATAATGCTGGAAAAATTGTTTTACCTAATGAGAAGAACACAATAATGCAAACTTTTGACAAAGCGATATTCTAATCTTCGCTAATTTACGGGGGAAAGGAATATGGAAGAGGCGAGCACATTGTTCTGACCAACCGGCCTAACTCACGTTTGCACATGATAATGCAAACCTAAATTAAAATAAGTTTGTGTGGTGCTTTAAAGAAAAAGCATATTAGTGTAAATCAAGAGCATAAAGCTTAATAAAGCGAAAGTCGAAAGCACCCGCAGTCCTGCATGGAATTCCAACTGTGCACATGATTCTTCTCCCATTCTTGCCTTGTTGGAATGCCTGCACTTTGCATTTCTCTCACTCCTTTCCGACGCTTTTTCCGCCATCCCGGTTGGACAAGCTGGTTGGTGATGTGTGCTTTGTAAAGGTCAAATAATTTGTTTTTTCTGCACGTTCTTCTGATATGATATGTTAACTGAAATTACTTGACTCGGTAAACCTGTATTGAACATGTGTTTTCCACGTACATTTATCTTCATGATGGATGTTTTGGAAATAATAATGTGCTTTTACCAAGTTTCCTTTTTCTGATATTGACCCACTATGAATTTTCCGACTTGACGGCTCAAACTGTTGTAAGATGCCATCTTATGAAGATTGATCACCGAATGAAGTAGGTTTGTCTTGTCAAAAGCACCACAAATTAAGTGGAAAAATTCTGCATTTAAGTCTCTAGGTTTGTATAATTTTGTTTGAATCCATTACAAGATCAAGTATGTATAAACAACAATCATCTCAGTAATACCTTTGTGCATCGTCAGAGCAAAAGCTAATTGGGGAACAAATATCTTTGTTTCACTCGAGCTTACATTTTCCATTGCTTCTAGTAAAACATGCTTATATTCCCTTGTTCTCCTCAAGCTACTCTCCGTGTTTTGCTCCGTATTATGTTCCGAAATTATTAGCCTACTCTTGAATTCTTCGGAATTTTGTAATGTTTTAACTTTGAAGGTTTCTGAAGGTTGAATTTTTTTTTACCTTTCCTACTCCCATTAGACAAAAACCTTTAAATTGCCTGGTGTCCTTCTATTTGTGTCAAAAAGAAAAAGGAAGGAAAATAACTGAAATAGAAATTGATTGCGTAGTGCGTTCTGCTTTCTCATTCACAACTTTGTTCCTTTCATCTATTAAGTTCTTGCTATAAGTTGGCATGCTTTTCATGCAGAGTTGTAAGGCGCATTGCTTATCGAATCCTGATGACCTCATAGATTCTTTATGCTTGGTGGTGCATTCTACTTTTTCATTCACGACTTTGTACCTTTCATCTATTAAGTGCTTGCTATAAGTTGACAAGCTTTTCATGCAGAGTTGTAAGGTGCATTGCTTATCAAATCCTGATGACCTCATAGATTCTTTATGCTTGGTATATTTTTAAAGGGAATTATGGCAGAAACCAATATCAATCTGATTGAGATGGTAGAAAACAAGTACATACCGGAAAAGATAGAGATTTTAAATTTCATATTAAAGTAAAAATCTCATTCGGTTCTTGTCGAACTTTTCTGACATTCTAAAACCATTTTCATAAAAAGCTTTTCTATATCTATTCCTTGATTTGGTTCCTTGTAATTGGATTAAAATGTTTGTGCGTTTATGCAAAATTCCAAATAGGTTTTTTTTGTGTTTCCATAGGAAATCGAACATGTAGGTTATTGTTTTGGGTAAGATCCAAGTCTTACACGCAGGTTTTGTGACTCTAACCAAAGCATAGAGCAAGGAAATGTGCGTGCTTTTTACCACACCGTAGTAAGAAGTTGTTCCATTTGATGTATTCATTTAGTATGAATCCATTGTCTTATTAAAAAAACTGGACATCAGGTTTCCAGTTGTGGCATGAGATATGTGACAACTTCTAATCTAATCCTTCTTATATGAATACAGGGAATGGCGTTTCACGCTAATAACTGTGCCCTAACTAAAAAGTTTCATAGAGCTCCCAGGAGGGATGCTGAATGACAGGTGTACTATGCACCTGCTTCTTTCTTCAGTTCTGCCTTTAGAATAAGAAATATCTTCTATTCAATATCAAATCTTTAGTTCAGATTGCTTACCTGTAACCAAACAAAGGAGTTGTTTTTCACATGTTTCTTTGGGGTATCCTTTACAATTTTATGTTTGTGTTATTATTGCTCAACTTCCGGATTAAATATATATGATTGCAGAACCTGTGAGATATGTGGATCAACCGCACGTAATGTGTCTGGTTTGAGTGAAGCTGAGTCGGCGGAGCAGTGGCATGATGAAGCCGCACTGGCAGCAGCAGTAGCAGGTGCCCCTGTGCAGACACCAGAGAGCCGAAACTTCTGGCAGGGTCACCGCTTCCTGAACTTCTTACTAGCTTGTATGGTCTTTGCGTTTGTCATCTCGTGGTTGTTTCACTTCAATGTGCCCTCATGAAAACCTCGTGTAGAGGGTTGGGTTGCGCATTTTACTTTGGTGGTCATAGAGAGGTAGCAAACAAGCACTCAACGGTACCTTCCTCGTACCCGTGCCTCCAAAAACTATGTTGGAGTTGGCTGTTTCTCTCTGCCTACTTGTTTATATATTAAGTAGCCTTTTCAGCAGGTTGTGTAACTTATGTTTCCATCGTCAAAACTTGAATTGAATTTGCATCACCATAGTAGTTTCTTGTCGCAACTCAAGATGCTTGATTAGAGAAAAAACAACCAATTATATGTATAAGATTTGTGGCAGATATGCTTCACTGTGCAGTATTGCTGTATAAGCATGTAAGATTTTTCTGTATAGGGGCACTCGGATTAGGCCATCCGAAGGGATGCCATTCTAAAAGCATGAGATTATCTGTATTTTGGTTTCACCCTGCCCCATGTTAGTCTAATTGGTATGAGAGTTTTCTAGTCAGACAATCATACCTAAGTTTCCATCCTACCATGGGGTGTATTTGGAGTCTGCGTCCAATTCGGTTCTTTTTTGGGTAGCATGGGTTAAATGGAAATTCTCGAACATAATAAACTAGTGGGGAAATTTCTTATTCTGCAAGTTATAATTTTAAATTCTTGGAGGCAAGTTATGGGAACTGGGTGAAAAGTTTGAAAACTGGGGATTCAGAGGAGCCATTTCAACTTAAACTTGGTTATTGAATTGCCTTGGCTTTGCAAGCAATGTGTTTGCTGAGACCGAGCAGTGTTCTAGCAATCGGCCATCGGGATCGACCAAGGTCAAACACAGATAGTACTGGTTTGGTATTGATGTGTTTTTATAAAAAGTGGGTATGAAAAAAAGCTGAGCTAAAAAAAGTGTTTGGTAAACATTTAAAAATAACTTATTTCACAATTTTGGATGAAAAAAAGCTGAAAACCTGAAACAGTAAAAATGAGCTTATTCTCACAGTACATCAGAAATAAATTTTTTTTCAAAGCATAGCAATACCAAACCAGTCCATAGTATGGTTTGACATTCAAGCCGAATGGTTACTGCTTATATTTCTATTAATGACCCTGAAATTTGGTAAGTTTGACAAAAAGTTGGGTAAGGATACTAGTACAGAAACTTGGCATGCTTCATGAGACATCGATGCTTAAAGTTTTCGAGACCTTTAAGAGGCTTGCAGCTCAAGTCGTCAAGAGTGTTTGCTCTTGTACATAATGTTCTACGATCATGAATAGCATATATCTAAAAACTTTTGAAGAAACCTTTGGAATATGTCGGGATGAGCGTTAAACTTGTTTCAATCTCTGGCTTCTACAACGTTTATCAACACACGGATGTTAAAATTAATTCGATTCTCGATTTGTCATGTGTTTTACTGGCACATATACATAAACATATGTGAATCCCATAAAAAATATGTCAAAACAAATTGAAATTTAGGAATGGATAATAAATGGATAATATGGTAACATGGGACACGTGGTTAGGGGTCCAGAAAGCAAAGGTAGGAGATGGAAAAGACGAACATTGTCAGCACCCTGGGAGGTGAGTGCTGTCTGCACTTTCCATTGGAGATGTCAAAATTCACAAACAAACAGATATTTGGTCCATGCACGAATTCCTGCATGGAAGGTGCCGTGATTGGCGATCGCCATCTTAATATGCGACAGACACAGCTCGTGCTGGGTGTCGCGGTGGGAACTCACTCCAAATAATCTCCAATTCTTTAGGCCGGGTAGGGAATTCATTCTCTTTGTTTTTGAATTTTTAAGTGGACGAATCAATCATAGTTTCCTAATGCCAAAAATTGGAAAAGAAACAAATTGAAATAATTGTTTGTTTGTTATTATGGTGGTCTGTGCGAGTTGTGACGCCTGCTATGCTCATAAGTTGCATCGAGTGATTACCCGAGATCCTGTATTCGATATATATGAGCTTCTAAGTTTAGGGTTTATGCGGTTAATAGTAAGTGCATTCCATGGCAAGGACTTTCATGGCATAATATACGAGTCACCATGGGTTATGTACTAATATTATAATGTAATATTTCTTTTATCATTGATACGAGATGTCATAGCGACAGTATACACATATAATACAAGTTGCTTCCGCACGATAGGTCTTGTATTAGTTTGCCACATCCTCCAAACTCGAAAACAGCTTGTATAAAGAAAAGTAAACACTGACAGCTGCATTACTTGTATGCAAAGAAACTTATCGAGATGGTGTTCTTCCAGAGACTTTTCACCAATCCAGTTAGGAAAAATGGTATATTTCAAGGAAATTATATGAGAGTTCAATGGGATACAGTCAGATGAAAACTCCTGAAAATTCATCAGAAATTTCGGTGATATCTAAATATTTTTAGACATTGCTTTTTGTTTCTCAGTTCATCACGTGGCCCAGCATGAAAGTGAACCTTACTTTAATTTCTTTGTTTTCTGTAACAAATTTTCAATCCGCGTCTCAGTCATTGAAACTCTTATTCAAGATTTCCTTCTTTCTCTATTCGTTTTTCTTATATATCAAATTGCTTTTAATTCTAAAAAAAAGATTTTAATGACAGGAAAATCATAATAATCAAATGGCTTAATAATTTGATTAGAAATTAGAAGCACCCGTAGCAGCAAGTGGTGAAGTGAGAAATAAAAACCAAATTATGGGTTGAAGTCCTTCGTTTTCTTAGTCTAGCAGTAGAACTATCGTTGAACTAAAAATAAATAAATAAATATTTCTGAATGCTAAATTTGATACCTACAGTAATAACTCAATTATCAATAATCATGTCATATGATTTATCAAATATGGTTTAAATAGATAGTCACACTAGTTTTCTTGAAGCCTCTTGTTCATATCTCTCATTAAAAGGTACTATTCGATAATGTTTATCATACCACAACGGTCCCCACCCCCCCCCCCCCCCCCCCCCCCCCCTTTTCCCGGGTTGACCTGAGCGTGCATTCAAATATACGTCCTACATTGCCTAGCACTACCCTAAACAGAAAATATCTATGATGGACTAGCGCTTTAAGAGAATGGTTAATTATTTGGATCAGATAATAAACTCATCTGCTAATATATAAGAGTCCAACAGATGCCTTAAGGTTTTTTTTTTTTTTTTTTTTGTTTATGTTTTTGTATTGTCGGTTAAATATGAATATCATGAACAATAATACAAGACAACGTTACATATCTTGATAGATCACTTCTCTCGTCTCCCTTGGAATGTTTGTAACAACAATACATTTTTTTTTTTTTTTTGTAACAATAAGACATAGTTACCTCGTCGCCACTCCAAGGGATTATAAGAGTTAATCCAAATAAAAAAAAAAAAAAACCAATAATATTTTCAAGATTTCATACGAACGTGCTGGACATGATTGAGAGCAGAGCAACACGTGTCGCAACCCCACAACACCGACTCAGTTAATTTAGGGTTTTAATCCAGGAGCTTCGTATCCTCCAGTTTCTTGTTTTGCAAAGGGATAATTAAATTAAGGTGCTTAAATTTTACATTGTTTTGATAAAACATCTATGCCTTTTCAAATTATGATTAAGGTACTTTGACTGGGTGCCACATCAAAATTTTTTTTATTTAATCAATTTTTATGTCATTAATGTATTTCTCCAAATTAAAATGCTACATATTGAATTCCGAATTTATCCTCCTTTTCGGAGGTTTTTCATTTTCTTTTTTCATGGCATGGCCTTTTATTCAGGGATATATATTTTTTAATTATTAGTTGTGTTTATCCAGATTCATTCTCACGTCTAAAATTTGGATGGGCTCTTCCATTTGAATTAGTGGTTGCTTTCATAAATTTATTTATTCACATTTGAATAGTAATCCACTTTTGAGGTATTTTTAGGTTTCTTGTTGCTTGATGTTTTTGATGTTTTTTGCTACCTGTGGGTGCGGCTGGTAAGTTGCTATTTAATTTTTTTTTCTACTCTTCTTCAGCATTCTTTCCTTGTTCTCTAACCGATGCTTCTGATCTGGGGCATGCTGCTTGGTGAGCAACCCTTAATTTGGTATGGTAAAAATGATAGCACTACAAATGAGAGTGCCACCAGTCGCATTAGCTAGTCAAACAGAAGTTTGTATGAGGCAATATCTTCAAACATACCAAATAGGAACCACCTCGCCTAAGAGGCATGCTTCTGTGATGGACGGAGAACACATTTGGATAGTTTAGAATGTACCATATGAGTGATACGTCTTACAATATTATTATTTTACGTACCAAATAACTGGTACGAATAAATTAATAAACGTATTTTATACATCTCAAATAATTGATATGCACCAAATTAACATTACATAATAAATGTACCAAAATATTGATACATACACACCAACTACACAAAAAAGGTACCAACCATTAATAATAATAATAATTAGTCACTCATCCAAGTTATATAAGACAAAGAAAGATTATTCTATTTTCAAACTTGATCATGCCAAACGTACCCAACCAAAGTAAGTTGTACAAAATTGGTACGTTTAGTTATGCATTTCAAATATACCAAAGCATTTGGGATAACATGCACCCAAGAATCAAATGAATAAGAAAAAGGTACGTTAAAAGTTATAATTTAGTACATTTGTTGGAAGGTATATGGTACGTTTGTCAATAATTGGGTACATTTGTTTAAAGTCTACATTTTAAATTTTTTATTGATAGTCCAAATAGGCACGTTAACAGTGGTATACATTTTTCGTGTACCAAGCAAGTTTGTATATCATATTTAACTTGGGTACAATTGTTGTCATATATTGAGTAAGCAACCAATACAATTCAAATTCATAAGCCATTGAGATAATACTTCCAGATTCCAAGGATAACAACGAAATAAAAAAAATAATGATAATTTTTAATGGAATTGAAATACTAAATTCAGAAGGAAAATATCTACTGGTAAAAATAAATAAATTCCCAACGCTTGAAAGAATGGCAATGCTCGTAAATTTTAGAAAAATGAAATCATGTTTTGTAATCTACTTGGCTCCTCATTTAGAGGAGGCGGTGCAATCTAAAACTTAAAACCTATAGATGTTTAATCAAACAAGTTGGGGAATAAGGCACCAATATCAAAAGCTCCCTTTTGCAAAAGACAAATTGCTTAATTAGCTAAACAAAGCAAAATAATTCACTAAAAAAATAAACAAAAATAATTAAGCACGTACAGATACAGCTAATGCAATGCAGCAGCAGCAGCAAAAATATTGGAATCGAGAGAGAAAATTAGATTGAGTGTCGACTCAATAAAAATGTCGGTCGCATGCTCCGGCAGCATCATCCAATGATGATGATTATGATTATATTCTTTTCCGTTTTAATGCGTAAAAAGCTTTAGCGTCAAATTATGTGCTGCGGTTAAAGTCGGTAAAGTGGATGCTGTAAGATATTTAGAGGAACTGATCATTGATCCACTCTTAATCATACAGATATTATTTTAACTTAATCATTTATTGTTAAGTTTTTAGGATTTATCACAAAAAAGTTCGGTGTCATTAAAAATGAAATCATACATTTATATATTTTATTTTATTTTCTTAATTCTCCCGTATGAAACCTATATTCAACACATGCCACAGTTATTTACTTTTTTTACTTTATCTTTTTCTCGTCTGTTTTTTTTCTTTCTTTTTGGATGTATTGTGAATGAGCTTTGTTTTACTGTACGCAGTCAATCCAACATATATTTCGCAATGATAAAAGAGTGAGTATCAAGTATAGGTTTATGATATGAGAGAATCATCTACATCCTATTTTGGAGAATATAAAAATATATGAATTTCTGAAGAGGCTTACTTCAAGCGATTAAGATTGCATTTTTCAATATTTCTTGTATTAATACGACTTTACAATCCATAATTTCTTTATACAACGACATTTTTCCTAAATCAGGAATTGGATCAACCAGGTCCTTATTTTTCATTACTAAAAATCAGAAATTTGATCAAGTAGGTCCTTATTGATTATTAAGTTCCATGATCTCTTTGTTTTCCCATTCTCCATTCATAAGATCCTTGAGCTTACTGCTTTCATATTGACAAAAAATACTTGTCGCTTTAATATAATTTTTATAAGTTTATTGACTTTAACCGTCGAAAAGTCATCGTAATCCAACTCCTACAACCTAAAGGGCCTAAACGGTCCTGGTTGGTAGTTGAAATCAAGGTCACACAAAGGAATAAGTCTACCTTTAATTAATAGCTTTAACACTATTCTTTTAACCCTTTTTTTCATTCAACATACTCTTTGAGTTCAGATGAGAAGTTTACTCCTTGGATGCCAATCTACCTCAATTATAAAATAAAAACAAACCAAGTTTGAGAGAGAGAGAGAGAGAGAGAGAGAGAGGAGCGTGCAAACACGACACAGACAAAGCAAACCACGTTAGAGTGAGAGCCATTGGTTGGTTGGTAATGTTTAACAGCTGCAGAGTGCAAAGACCCCTCCCTACTTCCTCCCTTTGAATCCAAGACTCAACTCGCAACCACCTCAATTTCTCTTAGTATTCCCAGTCCTACATAGAATAGCTCTCTCCACCAATCCCACACCCCTCCTCCCTCCTCTTAAACTCTCTTTTGCCATTCAATCTGCCTTGATCTTTGTTGTCATCGTCATGAGGAAGCTTTGTCCCAATCTGGACTGCGAATATGGGCTTGAAACAGTCCTCGAGGTCCCAATCCCAGAAGAGATGTACATTTCAGGCGATCACAAGAACGCCACCACTTCATGGCACAACATGAAGTCGTGGATGAAACCCTCAAACAACGACCGATCACAATCAGCCAACGCGATTTTTGGAAGCAAAAACGCCGAAGTCCAGCTCTTGCTTGGAGTCACTGGAGCCCCTCTCATTCCCTTACCAATTCCAAAAGATCACCAACCCATCAGCCGCTCCATCAAAGATCAACCTATTGTAAGTCATTTTTACTTTATTGTTCAAAATATTATTAGGATAACGTTCTCTTATCAAATTATGCACTACATTAATGCTTATGTTGTTAGACTGAAATTTGGACCACCCAATCTGACAAGAAGATCAGTGGTCCAGATTCCTAGGATGACAATATAAACGTCTTATATTGTAAGGAATTTGACGTCAAGTCCCATGAAAGTGCGTTTGACATATAACTTTTGGTCACATATTAAGTTTCCTTAATATTTTTTGTGTTTTATGATTTGTAGGAAGTTTCAATGGCGAAGTACATAGTCAAGCAATACATAGCGGCAGTTGGAGGAGAGAAGGCTTTGAATTCAGTGGACAGCATGTACGCAATGGGAAAGGTGAAGATGACGGCGTCAGAGTTTTGTACTGGAGAGAGGAGCTTGAATGGTGGCAATAACAAGTTGAAGGTGAAGAGCTTGTTGAGATCAGTGGGCGGCAGCGGTGAGATGGGTGGGTTTGTGCTGTGGCAGAAGAGACCAGAACTTTGGTGCTTGGAATTGGTGGTGTCTGGTTGCAAGATCAGTGCAGGGAGTGATGGAAAGGTGGCTTGGCGCCAAACACCATGGCACCACTCGCATGCCTCTCGAGGCCCGCCTCGCCCTCTCCGGCGTCTCCTACAGGTACTAATTCCTTCCACCTCTCTTTCCTTTCCCGGTGTTTTTTTAGTGTCATGCCTTTCTATTCACCGTTTGATCAAGATAACAAAGTTACAGAAACATACATAATCACGATTTATGCTTTCATGATTGTCATCCGTTAAAGTTTTTGAAACGTCTCACAATGCATCAATGATTATCAATTATATATACACACTTTAACGAGATATCTAATGGAATTAAGGAAAATTAATGAAAAAGGTTTGAAAACTTTAAGTTTTAATTATAAGAACAATGAACGGTAAAATGAATAATATCATGATTGATATTTTAATGTAAAAATATGATTTTTACTTAAAATGAACATTATCAAGAACTTTTCATTAAAATTCTCATGAAATTATTGTCACTCGTTGATGTATGTGTGTCTAGCCGCGTATAAGTGCTCATAGTTCATTAAGTTTAGCCAAAGAATGTGTTTGAGGACCTTTTTTCTCTAATTCTCTTTTGGTTTCTTTTGACTTTGCCCTTAGGAAGCCCTGACTTCTATGTTGGTATGTCCCCATCAAACTATTCTAAAGTGTATATATGGCCCACTTTCATGTGGGCCAAACTTGCACGTTTCTCAGCACTCTCCCTACCTAACTAGCTTTTTTTTTCTTTGCTTGTTTTGAAAAAGTCCAATTTTTTTTTTAATAAAAAAAAAACACAATTAAATACGTTAATGCATAAACCATGAGCTACTAATCCGGTGGTAGATGACTAATTGCGTGACTTCCTTAGAAAATTACAAAAAATGCGTGAAGGTCTTAAGTTCGAAACTCGTTACTAGTGTGGAAACCAAACTTGTGGCTAGGGAAAGGCTGAAAATGCCTTTCCGGCCCCCTGAAGGGGTAGATAATCGTGATTTGTCACCAGTTGTCCTCTTTTTAAAAAATACCTTAATGCATAAGCCACTTAATTCTATGGTTAGTGATATTTCTCTCTATTTGTAAGTAAAAGATTTTAGGTTCGATTTACGCCAAAGACAAAATTGAACTACGTTATTATTAGTCTATTGTAAAACTTAATCCACTTCCTCACTTTTTACGGTAGATAATATCGTTAGTTTGAAAAGAAAAAAAACCTTAATGCACAAATATTGATACTACATTCTGTACTCAACAGGGTCTTGATCCGAGGTCAACAGCCAACTTATTCAGCAACTCAGTTTGCATTGGAGAGAAAGCAATCAAGGACGAAGACTGCTTCACACTAAAATTAGAAGCCGAACCCTCAACCCTGAAAGCAAGAAGCAGCACCAACGTTGAGATAATAAGGCACACTGTTTGGGGCTACTTCAGCCAAAAAACCGGCCTCCTAGTCCAACTAGAGGACTCCCACCTCCTCCGAATCAAATCCGCCGGCAACGACCACGGCATTTGTTGGGAGACCACAATGGAGTCCTACGTCCAAGACTACCGGAACGTCGAAGGCATCAGCATCGCGCACGGGGGCAAGACATGTGCATCGTTGTTTAGGTTTGGTGACAGCACGGAAGGCCATTCGAGAACGCGAATGGAGGAGGCTTGGGAAATTGAGGAGGTCGATTTTAACATAAAGGGTTTGTCCATGGACTGCTTCTTGACCCCCGGTGACCTAAAGAAAGAGGAAGAGGAAGGAAAACGGGACGCTATGGTCCCTAGTGCGCATTCAAATTTGCCGTACAAAATCGGATCCGCTTCGTCGAGAATTAGTGCTTCGAAAGTCGCTGCACTCGATATTGAATATGATTTGGCAAACAGCAATGGCAGCGGTCAAGAATCATTGTAAATTCGTGCGGTCAAGAATCATTGTAAATTCGTTATTTTAATTTTTGTTTTGTACATAATGTTTACATTAACGAGTTTGATATTCGTTAGTTAGATACCATCGCATGCCACGCTTTCAATAAAATGAGATAAGTGGGCATGGGCTTGAGCCATTGAGCTTTAATGGATTGAGTCATTGGGCTTTATAATATTTACAATATTTGCCGACACGTAACGGCTGTATTTCGTTCATCGCAATCAAACTCTCAAGAAATCCAATCACTGATTTATAAAATTCGCCCAAATTCGAACGGTCCTTATCCGACAATACAAAATCCAAAATTGCATTATTGATTAGAAGATTCTCAAATAAGAAAGATTTTTCAGTATGATCAATGCACAAAATAATACATCACGTATCATTATACAAATAATAAAATATATATGTTAAAAAATTTATAACTTAAAAAATAAAAATTTCCACCACTTCTATTAAAACATGTAGTATACCATTTACGTTTCCGTCATAATTAAAAATTTCCCCTCAAATGATGTTGCTGATTCTGAACCCATTTGAGAGCCAAAGCATCGTTAGCCCGCACGCACATCGACTCGAAAAAGGAGTTTTTAATTGTGATAGAAATACAAATAATACATCATGTATTTTAATAAAAATCATAAGAAATTTTATATTTTAAATTTTTAACTTTTTAACATTCATATTTCATCATTTGTTTAATTATTTCTACAATAACGTGATATATCATTTCTATACCAACCACACTTACTCGCCGACGCCGCACGTGTTCAAAGCGGACGCGCCGGGGCTCCGGAAGGAGATGGTGAAGGTTCATGTGGAGGATGGTCGGATCCTCCAGAGCAGTGGGATGAGGAAGCGTGACCAGGAAGAAAAGACGGGCACGTACCTCCGTCCAATTCTTGCATTTCCACTCTTACAGGTAGGACAGATAATTTTGCAATTGTTTATTCATTGAAATTATGAGTCAAAAATTTGAATTGATCGAATTTAAGCGTACTCAAAACCTTTATTAAGGTTTATAATATTTCACAAGCAGAAACCATACATGAAAATTGAGACAGAGACACTGAGGTACAAGAACAAAAAGCAGGAGCGAACAGCACAACAAACCATGATTATTTAACATACGTACGACATTAACCCTAAAAGTAGCCGAGGTTATACGAATTTAGTTTAGCCGGAGATGTCAATGGTCTTGACATCAGGCCTCTTCACCTCTTTCGGCACAGTTACAGTCAGCACCCCGTTCTCCATCGCCGCCTTCACCTGATCAACCTTCGCGTTCTCCGGCAGCCTGAACCTCCTCATAAATTTGCCGCTGCTCCTCTCCACCCTGTGCCACGTGTCGTTCTTCTCCTCCTGCTCCCGGCTCCTCTCCCCGCTGATCTGCAGGACCCTCCCGTCCTCCACCTCCACTTTCGCCTCTTCCTTTTTGATCCCCGGCAGGTCCGCCTTGAAGATGTGAGCCTCCGGGGTCTCCTTCCAGTCGATGCGGGTGTTGGCGATGGCGGTGGTTTCACGGGCGGAGGAGGGGACGTTGGCCAGAGCGCCAAAGCCCTCGAATGGGTCCCAGATGTCCATAGAGAAGGGGTCGAAGACGTTGCTTCGACGTCCGCCAAAGAGACTTAGAGCCATTAGATGCTGGATTAGAGTTGGGTTTTTGCTGGTTGTGAATTCGAAGAATTTGAGTGAGAGATTTTAGATTGGGTTGCTTTGGATTATTCTATCTGATTGGGTGGGCAGCCGAGTGACTTGTATATATAGAAGACGGCACAGAAGGTTTCTCTGATAACTCCAGAAAGTTCTGCAGCTATCCAGAATGGGATAAAACAAAATTAAAAAAAAAAAAGAAAAAAAAAAAGAAAAAACCAGAGAGTTCCATTAGCTTCCACCAAGTTCTTGAAAGTGCCTTTTTTTTGGGTTAATTCCTTTTCGGCCCAAAACATAATTGGTGCTTATAAAAGACTCCAAATTGGTATTATAAAATTACGTACCATGTTAATTAAGAAGTTAGAAAAAAAAAAATTGTTCTTAGCATTTTAAAAATTTTATTATACACTTCTTATAAGTGCATTTTTCTATCTAATTATAGAAAGTTTGGAATGTCAAATGAGATTTTTGAAGTGCTAATAACAATTCAAAAAAAAAAAAAAGTACTAAACTCAATTATATTGTCAAACTAATTTTTAAATAAATGATATTATTTACACTAAGATGGTAGAAAAGTGGGTTAAACCTCACAATAGATTAACAATAATATGATTCAAATTCGTCTTTGGAGAGAATAAAACATAAAACCTCTTACTTACAAATGAAGAAGAATAACATTACATCGTAGTACTAAGTGGTTATTGCTAAACTAATTTTAAAGTAGGTGAGAGATGACTTAGGGTTTGATGTCCCCAATTTGATTTTTTTTTTTTTTTTTTTTGTCTTTTCGCTTATGTCTTATACGTATCCAACTACTTAATCTCAAATTTAACTACGCTGATTTTTAATAAACCAAAAAAAAAAATTAAAAGTTAAAAACAAAATCAGAGAAACTAGTATCCAGCGAATCTTCACCTACTCCGACACCACTCTCACCTCACCCCCACATTTCCTCACGCCAGCAACCTTGCATCGCTTGTAGTAACCCTCACTCCGACTTGATGTCGGCAGGGCCTCATCTCCTAGAAAATTAAAGCCTAAATTCTAACAATTTAATAGACCTAATTGCATTCGACTAACCATACTCTCACTATAATACATTACAATTTCATGTTAATCATGAAGTTTACATTACCTAAGCACGACTAGATGTTTACAGTTTCATCTGTATCATGAATTTACATTACCCAACCAAGAATCCTCTTGTTATCAAGGACAATTGGAAAGCTCCACTTATTTGAAATTTTCAAGTGTGGATGAGGACAGTGGCGGATCCAGGATTTTAACATGGGATAGTCCTAGTAAAAAAGTGTTGGAGAATAAGATTCTACATAAATCATATGACAAATAATATACAATTAATATATAAGAGTTTTTACCTCTAATATAACCAGTCATTTTGGGATAAAACCCAACACCTAGTCATAGGTGATTAAGTTGGAACCATATCGGTGATATGGGTGATGGACCATGTTTAATTAGGCTTATAAAGTTTCACAAAACACTCCAAAAAATTAGATGAAAATAAAATTGAAACATTAAACGATAAAAAACAACTTTTTATTCATAATCTTTGTACAAACAACAATTCATGTAACCTTTGTTTCATCATTTTTAGCAAGATTACTAATCCCTTACAATTGAGAAAAGTCATTTCTTTAGCACATAGAATGAATATAAATACCAAGTTGATCTTGAAGTGCCAATAGGTGTGTGAAGACTGGAGAAGAGATTGGTTATGTGCTGATGATGGTGGCTTCAGTTCAGCGGGGTGGGAACTGGGGATTAGGGAAGAGAATCCTCTTCGGATCCACTTTGGGGATCATAAGGATCTCCATATGTTAGCCATTCATCATACATCGTGTAATCAGTTTTCGTCAGGTACTATTTGTGTTTAATTTTAGATAAAAAAGTCAAATGATTTATGACTGTACGATGCACGATAAATAACTGAGATGTAAGAATTCATAATTAGATTTTGAGGGAGTTAATTTGCGTGGAGTTGGACATTCTTTGAAAGTTGAACTCTTTTCTTACTTTTTATTAAAAAAAATGGTGAGGCTCTCAGCCTCCCACGTGACCTAGAATGAGTTTCCAAGTACCACATTGATGCTCATCGTACCGTTTTATTTAAGAGTAATGATAGGAAAATTAAATTTTTAGATAAAATTTATAAACTAAATGATATGAAAGTTAATGATTGGATTATTACTTAAATATTGATAAACGTGCTCATTTTCTATTGATGACACATTACTTAATTTGAAATTTTTTCTACAAATTTAGTTTTCCAAGCATTACTTTTTACTTAAATGATCAATGTGGCTTAGTAGTAGGTGACCTAGGATACCGTTTTAAAAAGAATTGGTCTTCTTCTTCTTCTCTCTTTTTGGTTTGCAAAAAGCCAAAACATTATGCGGCTGCTGCTTTTTCCCTTCATTGCCCAGACTGGGATGGTCATCGGAAGATCTCATAGCCAATTATCTGAGAATTTGGGTGGTCCTGAAACCAACCAGGTCCCTTAATAAATCCGCCCCTGGATGGAGAAGGCTTTTGGTGACGGCAAGTACAAGTAAGGGTAGCCGCTGGTGCATGGGGAAGCTGGCATGGGTGACTCCTTGGGTTGTTGGCGCACGGGATTGCATGGATCGGGGTGGGTGGGGACACAGTGGCTGCTAGTTTCTTTGTTTTTGGGTTTTAGTTTCTTAGTTCTATTAAAAAATTAATGGGGTGAAGGCTAGGTGAAATGGATGGTACACGTGATGAGAAATTAGAGAGGAGACGCCACAATTAGGGATAACAGACCCGCGATCGTGAGAGGGGAAGGGGACGGCAGAGAAAGAGTGGCTCATGTGTATAAGAATGGTGTGTTCACCCCCAACATGTGACTTTTTAATACTAATTATGATGGACTTTCTTACCTTAGAAGTAATACAAAGCCTATAATTATTTGATCTCTAAATCCTTGTGGAATTTTACTTTAAGTTTACACAATCACATTCCTAATTAATGATTCTATTCACAACACTCCTACTTAAGTATGTACAACTTAAAAAGTAGCTACATCAATTCTTCGTGATTAGGTGATGCGGTTGTTGTCATTAGCTATCGGTAAAAACCTTGCTCTAACAACCAATAGACTTATGGAGAAAAATTGGGTTAATACAAGATGTTGATATTTCACATATTCAGAATGATTATTAAAATACACAAACGTATGACCAATCAAGAGTAGGTACTTCATCAAAAAATTTCGTTAGGTAAATAAAAATTCAGTAGGAAAACTACTCTTGAACATAAGGAAAAAAGTATGTTAAGATCATGTAAGTATACTATAAGATTTCTCTTGAGTTCTATAAAACTCCCCAAAATGACTATCCGTGACATAATTTTTAAAGTTTATATAGTCTAATTTCATAAACAAGCTTTTGAAAAGTAAACTTTTTATTGACTTCATGAAGAGGTCAACATAATTGTCTTAAGATCGGATTTGCTTAACTTTGATCTCCTGATGCTCTTGTTGCCGATGAGTGAAGAAAAACTTCGTGACGGTTTTCTTTGTAATGTCGCATTTGATGGATCATTTCTTTAATTGGTCGATACATGCATCGTTGTCTTCATAAATCGTTGTTGGAACATTAACGATGTAAGAAAGATCACATAAAGTTCTAATGTGATCTATCATGCGCCTCAGCCAAAATCATACATGCGATAATTCGCATAGGCTAAAATCTCAATGTGATTTAAAAACGTAGCAGCTAAATCCTGTTTGATTGATATGCACAATATTGAAATATCTTTAATGACAAAGACATAGACTGTTCTCAAAACATGCTTTGTATGGTTTAAATAACCATTATCAGCATAACTTAGAAGGTGAACATCATTCCACCGTACCTTTAAGGTAATTCCAGGATGACTTGGACACTTATCTAGTGTCTATGTGTATGCGTATTGTTGTATCTTGCTAAAATTCACAACAAAAGATATGTCAGCTCCAATGTACCGAGTAAAATAAAACGATGATTTCACTCGAGTAATTGATCTCGTTTAGGATGAAATCGATCTCGTTTTTCATCCTGAGTTAGGATGACCATGAGAGTACTCAAAAGTTTTGTTTTACCCTCATTAAAACAGTGCGAACACTATTAATATCCAAACTAAAAATCAAAAGAAACAATCACCAGTTTAAAATTTGAAAATATAACCTTGTTCATAGTTAAACCAAAACCAGTTGCAAATATAACCTTGAAAATAAACCAAAACCAGCAGCTAGGAATTTCCACCACTATAGGACTCAGTCAACTAGTAAAGAGGATCCTATCTGAATAAGGAAAGAGGATTCTCTCCGGATCCATTTTGTGTGGATCATAGGAATCCCTACATCCTAGACATTCATCATATGTCGTGGTCAGTTTTCGTCAAGTAATATTTGTATTTAATTTTATACAAAACAAGTCAAATGATTTCTGAACACACGATGCACGATGAATGACTAAGATGTGCGATCCCTAGAATCCCCACAATTTGGATCTGGATGAGATCCAAATCCGAGGATTAGGGAGTTAATTTGAGTGGGGTGGAATTTCTTTGAAAGGCGAACTCTTTTTTTTTTTATTAAAAAAATGGTGAGGCTCTCAGCCTCCCACGTGACCTAGAATGAGTTTTCAAACACCACATTGATGCTCATCTTTTTATTTAAGAGTAATGCTAGGAAAACTAAATTTTTAGACAAAATTTATAAACTAAATGACATGAAAGTTAATAATTGAATTATTACTTAAGCATTGATAAACGTGCTTATTTTTATTGATGACATATCATTTAGTTTGTAAATTTTTCTACAAATTTAGTCTCCCTAGCATTACTCTTTACTTAAATGATTAATGTGATTTAGTAGCAAGTGACCTAGGATACCGTTTTAAAAAAATTGGTCTTCTTCTTCTTCTCTCAATCTGGTTTGCTAAAAGCCAGAACGTTATGCAGCCGTTGCTCTTCCCTTCACTAACCAAAATGGGGTGGTCCTTGGA